CGGTGAGGAAGCCCGGCTTGTGTAAAGAATGGCTGCTTGGAAGTGACTCATATAGAACGTGATGCAACACAGCGCAGCACATTTGAATTATGGGGCAATGAACAATGAGGTCATCGCGGGGCTGGGGGCACCGATCTCTCAGTAGCCTGGCATAACACAACATTTCTCACTGATGGAGGAAACCGCAGCGGGCTTTGAAACTGCGGTATTGTCTGGGAGACTGGCAGATGAAGGGCCGTGTTGTTTGAATTCAGAAACTAAAACAATGAGGGGGGAATTCTGGCCTGATTGTCGGGGGCATTTTTAGCTCCGTTTCCTTGGCCCAGATTGTTTGCAGATTTTGAGATTGTGCCTTTTCCCTATCTTTGTCTTTACGGTGCCTCCATGTCCTCGTGTATCACCACACGGCGTCCACTGATATTTCCATACTTTTCTTCAGCAGCATATTGTCCACAATCAGCGTCTGCTGTAATAGCATCATCCCCAGGCCCCTCTTAAATTTCCTGCTTACTGGGCTTTTACTTTAACTGCATTACATACATCTTCCACTCCCGCTTTATCTGGTTCCTTTCAGCATCCACCGGGGTGAGAAATCTGACTTCAATCTTTTGGCTGAACCACTGAAACTGTGGTGGTGAATACAAAAAAAGCAAAAAAAAAGCTAAAATGGTCATTAATTTGATTGTACAGTTGTTCTCTTGATTGATGTCTGATGGTGTTTATTTCCCAGGACTTTGAGAGTGAGAGTATGTGCCACGGAGTATTGATCTGGAGCTTTGTTGATGGTGCAGTGTGATAGGCCGAACCAGGGTGAGGATGACTGCATGGCCATGCTTGATGGCACAAAGATATTCCCAGATACAGTGGTGATCAATGGCTCCACGATGTATGTTTTTATCATTGGCACGGTGTCCCTCGTCATTCCTTCAAGCAGACTAACACTGTGTGAAAAGTAAATAAAACACCTCCGGCAGACACAGGTTACATCTATTTCTGTTTCCCAAAAATCATTTTGTGTGACAACTGTTACTATTAACACACTGACAACGTAGGACTTTCACATAACCTGGATAGTGGAAAGTGAACTACAGCTCACCACTGCACACGACCACATGAGTGCTTTTAACCCATCACCAAAGTGGACAGTGGGCAGCTCTAAGGGGCCGGTGCCTTACTCACAGCACCTCAGTGGTAACTTGCCAGCTGGTGGACTCGAACCTAAAACCTTCCAGAGAGCCTTCCCAAGGTCACTACTTTAACCACTAAGCCACCACTGCCCCTAACCTGTGCTTCAGTTTCGTATTTATTTATTTCTGCCACGGCCATAAACATGTTTGTGATAAAAACAACGTGCTCCTCTGCCACGAAGCAGCACCTGTCAATTTGTTCCTGACATATCTTTCACCTTCTGCAATAAAACCATTTTACCACCTCTGTGTTTTGCAAGGAAAGCCTGATAGTGTCACGCCAAGACAGATGAGTACCACGCTGGCCTGCGAGCCCGCAGTAATAACTTACGTGGACCACGCGTCTGGTTTCTAACCATCTGAGAAATTGCGTGCTCCTTCTCCTGCCACGTGCTTACCGGACTTTTTAAACCTCACTATTGGCTCCCGTTCAGGCGAGCGTGTGTGATAGATGAGATGACATCCATCATGTGTATTAAGATGAGAACCAGAACGTATTGGTTGAGGGCCTTGGTTGTAGATTAAAGGTGCGCCGTGGTAAGCCTCTGATTTTAAAATCAATCTGTGCAACAGCAGTGCCAAGTAATTACCGTACAATCTGTTTATGGTTGGAATCATCTACACCACGTTGGTGTGGGCCTCGTTCTTCATGTGTGAGTGGCCCGGGGTGTAAGTGCACCCATGTATTGTTACATTGCATTGTACAGGGTTGAGTACAGTTTATTCCAGTTCAACGGCGTGGAATAACTTGACAAATCAACCAGGTTTTTGTTTCTTTGTGTGCAGCTCCCTTCGTTCCCGACACTCTTCTTCTTTCTCACATTTATCCTATGTGGGTCACACGGACAAGAGTCGGTCGACGCCTGAACTTTACGCCCATATACGGCATGTCCTTTATGCCTATGTCTAATCTGATGAGACCCAGAGGCGGATTGTGGTTTTTTAAAATGAACGCCACCACCACATTTGGAAACGCTGTCTTTTTTTTCTTTTTTTTTAACCAGCAGGCATCAACGCAATTTTTGGCGTCTCATCATGCGCTGTTGTCTGACGCATAATTACAAAGGCCAATACACGAAAAACCATCATGAAAGCATACTGTAAGAGTCGTCCTAATTACATACAGTGGGATCATGAGTAATGGGGGTGTAACAAAACATCAATACAACCACTGCCGCTCATAATAGAAAACACTATTGTTTTACTGTGAGAAAATGGTCGGCATCTATCAAGTGAATCCACAGCCTTTTCTTCAGGATGCCACTGTGACCAGAGACTTAAAAAAAAACAATAAATAAAAACAGCCACTTCCTGCTCCAACACAAATCCAACTATTGTTCAGCCCGGGCTCTGATGCTTGTTTATTGAAAACCTGAGTAATGCCCTTGTCTGGCTTTAAGAGTTTGCCACTTTCCCATCCAAACTTGTCTTGTGTTTTATTTTACCGTCGCCTTTCTGGTGAGTCTCTTGGGATCAGATGTCTTCCTTCTTTTACTCCTGTGGTTATGAATTTTAAAACCATCTCAACTTGATCTTCAGTGACCTTCACCGAACAAAAATGTCCTGTATCATGAAAGAAAAAAAAACGATATGTGGTCATCATTGATACCACAAACGTAGTACAGGAATACAGTACACAGCTAGCAGTTAACCATAAGTGGAAACTAAATAACAATTACAACAATTACAGCAACAGTGCTGTAGGTCAGGGTGGTCCAATAGGTAGGTCGCGATCTACCAGTAGGTCGCAAAAGTAGTGTTCGTAGGTTATGGCCGATTGAAATAAAAAAAAGAATATAAATCTATAGTGTGCAATAGTGACCATATACTGTAAAAAATGTAATTATATAGTGCTGTAGAGCTACAGGCATAATAATAATAATGAGTACTCAACATATAATCTATATATAAATATTTATGTTAAAAAAACAAACATGAATGCCACTGCTGAAGGTGATTTCTTTTCATTTTTCAAGTGTTAATTTTTCTCAGTTATTTCCATACAAGAGTAAATCCACAAACACCCAGATCGCATTAGTGTTGACTCTCAAAAGACACCACACAAGAATTAGCCACATGGCTAACGCTGGTAGCGAGCTATTTATACAGTACATCGCACTGTGTTTTTGTGTTGGAAAATTTCACAGGATGGAGCGAAGGCAATGGATTCCCATATATCCTTGTTCAAACAGAACATCTGAAATGAAATTCTTCTCCACCGTCGTCTGTGGTTACTGGCTACTTCTGCCATTTTCATGAAATTCTTCTCCACCGTCGTCTGTGAATACAGCCTGGCTACTTCTGCCATTTTTTTTTGTCTTTTTTCAATACTCTGCTCCTCATTCTTCCACCTGTCTGTAAATAATATACACTCTCTTTAATTAAACAAGACTTAAACGAAGGAGCCGTAGATATGAGGTTGGCTTAGCGTTCCACGTGTTCTGACACCTCCGTGAGCTCTCCTGTCACGCGTGCACAATCGCACAATATCTGACGCTTTTGCATTAACGTGAAAACACATGTATGTAAACAGAGCGGTGAAAAAAGCTCTTTTCTTGTATGCTCTGCTCAGTCAACCGTGGAGATGTTACTCACTGTCTCTTGTACTGGTTAATAGACCCAATTACTGCACAGCCGGGCTAGAAACTTCACAGAGGCCCAGCCTCCAACACTCTGCATGGACCAGGGTGTGTGTGTGTGTGTGTGTGTGTGTGTGTGTGTGTGTGTAGGCCTGCTGTGGCTGTACTTGTGGGGACTTTTTTTTTTAGGAAAATACTGTTGTTGTGGCAATGCTTTGTCCTTGTGGGGACATTTTGCATGACCACCACATGAAAGGTTAATTAGAGGATTAAGATTTAGTTTGGACTTCAGAATTAACGTGTGATTGTGTGTGTGTGTGTGTGTGAGAGAGAGTCTAATGCAGGGGTGTCAAACTCATATTCACTGGGAGCCACACCAGCAATACAGTTCCCCTTGCTAGGGCCCGTGGACAAAAACACACCAACTCTCCAAAATTAGCCACAGTATAGAATTTTACCGTGAAAATGAATCTTCTGACACAAATTTGCAAGTAGGATGAAGATGAAGAAGAGGGAGACTAATGAGAAACGTAGAAAGAAATGGCTGTGGTGGGGCTGAGGAAAAAGACAGAATGTGTCGTCCTCAGACATTAGGCGGCAGAGAGCAGAAGACCGAGATGGAGACGGATGAGCTCAGGCGCAAAGTGTAGGGGATAAGGTGATGCAAACTGAGAAAGAGAAAAGAGGAGGATAATAATAAGACATTCAAGTGTGAATACCAGCTGCTCTGCATTCATATAACAGAGAAAACAATTTCTCCTCCTGAAAAATATCTCATACCCTGCAGCTAAAAGCCACCCTTTAAACCAGTGATCACGCCACCAAAGAGCTTTCAAGCCGTAAACTGCCATCAGGCAAAGAGACAAACTACAACGGTCTGATGTGAACCTGCACAGGTGATCGGTCACCGTGGGTTTCAACGTTTGCAAAGAGAGAAATTAACAGAAATTGATACGAAAACTACTAAACAAGTCGCTGGCGAGAAAAGAAAATGGCCTGCGAACGGTTCCTTGTGTTTGAATGGGATTTTCGCTCAGTCTGGAGGGAACCATCATTCACACTGCAGCACACACTCGCTGCAGATTATGTCCTTTGGTTTCTGTTGTGATAGAATGACAGGGGCTTCTGTTGACTGAGATCAAATAACCATCCATCCTTCTCCGCTTTCTCTCTCTCCCTCTCTCTCTTTCCCCCTCTGTCTTCCACTTTGCTCCTTTTTCCCATCTCTCTCCAGGACTGTGATGTCCAGATGCCACTGAGATGTGATTCTTCTGGATTGCAGTTACCTTCGAGAAAGCAAAGTCCACTTTAACAGGTAAGACCGAGACACCAGTCTCTGTGGCTTCTGAAAGTTTGGGGCGTGTTTTCCCAGTGATGTTGACTCCAAATGCAGTCTTATTTATAGCTGGCTTATTCAGGCCTTGGTGTTAGTCACGCACATAATACACACACCTGGTGTGCAGTTTGTGCCAACTCAACAGTATGCATTATGCTTTTTTAGAACCAAATAAGACCTCACTATCTCCCCGGAGGAGTCAGAGTTCCATCTGTGCCAGGGAGTGCTCTAATTGGCTCTACAAATGTGGCCTCTCAAAACCGCTTGTCCAATCACATTTGATCCATCAGACGTGAAAGAAAGAAAGAAAAAAACAAAGAAAAAAAGAAAGAAAGAAAGAAGACTCTAACTTGAAATACAGTACTTGTTCGTAGGGTGAACATTGGGAGTTGAACCAAGAACCTCAGCCTTTTACTCGCCCGCGGGCAGCCACTCGCTGCGTCATATTTACAGTGTATTTACAGGCTGAACCGGGCCTGTAAAATGTCCACTTTTACGAGTTCCCTTTTAATTAGACGTACTGTTTCCTACAGCTGGGCTGATGAATTGTGCATTCGCTTTATTGACAGAGGAAGGGCATGTAGTTCTGGCTTATCGACGGCTAGTCAAAGTATCCCAGCAGACAACCCTTTTTTTTTCAAAAGAGGCAAAATATTGTTTGATTTCTGCTCTATAACACCCTGAGGCCGCATCTCCACATTATTTTATTCTCTATTGATCAAAATGGTTGGAAAGACCATGAGAGTGCTTTCTCTCTCTCTCTCTCTCTCTCTCCCTCTCTCTCTGATATTATATCATCTCTACTTCGCGGTTTTTCACCTGTCGAGGGCGCTCTTGGAACCTATGGCATGCGATAGACGAGGGACCGCTGTAAGAGTCACACAGTGTATAAATGAATTGAAAGGATCTTCTCTGTCGCCAACTACTGTCTTAATGAGGTACTTGTTGGTGTGTTGTTGTGTGGGGGAATGTTTTGTTTGCGTGGACTTTTTAAAATTTTTTTATTGCTCTTCCTCTTCAGTTTGTGTGTCGTCCTGGATGCTTCCCTTCCTCGACTCTCAAATGACACAGGAAAACTGTTTTGAAATCCGATTCCATGAGATCAAGGCTGCATTTTGTCTTTATTTCTTGGGAACAATGAGTCAAAAGAAAGAACAATGGGGACAGAAAGAAAGGGGACATATCATTCTTCATATGGGGGAGGGGGGGGTAGGGGGGGGGGTGCTGTTTTCTTCCACAGTGAAACAGGTGTTTCCTGACACCCACACACAAATGCACAGCCTTCGTTTTCCTCCCTGGTAATGAGAGTGCTGAAATGCAATATTTAAATAATAAAAAAAAGGAAATACAATCTGTATCTGTTTCAGCGGCTTAACAATGGGTAAATGTAAAATGGGTGGAATCGCACCGCAGCACAGCCACTGTTCACATGCCTGAAGACGCAGGAAACACATCTGGACGCGGTGCGTTCATTACGAACGCAGCTGATAACGAGGTGTGAGGGTGAAATGATGAAAAGAGGTGTGTTATCTTTTTCAGAAACACAGTCTAACGATGACTGAATTTAATCAAACGAAAAAATAAATAAATGACTCCTTTCATTCAGCTTTTAGACCAATGACCAAATTAGATTTTTAATAATTGGACGTACTCAGTGTTGTGAAGAGTTTCAATGGCTTTATTACATTCATTCTAATTTTAATTTAAAGTTTTATTCAAAACTCTAAACCAAAACACGTTTATTTAAAATCTTCTCATCTCAGAAAAGTCCTGGTGGCCCTAGAGTGTAAATTCACACCTTCGTCTTACACTTGGTGCAGTTCACTTAACCATGGGTGACTCACACCGTGTGAGTGTCAGTGTGCAGCCAGGACTACGTAAGAATGTTAACACTGAAAATGACTAAAATGAGCAGAGGGGGAGGAGTCAGAGTGGGAGCATTCAGGCTGAAAATGCCAACGTGAGCGTGTGACCAGGACTTTATGAAAGCAAAGTGACCTAAATGTATCATTTTCTGTCTAAGCTCAACCAAAGGAAGTGAAGTACACGTGTAAACACACCCTAGGAAACATCATATGTGTCTCAAAATAACCTCAGGGGATCATTTCATGGCAATACCGACACAATTCCCTTTATTTCCCTCTAATCCTGCAACAATGCTGCAAAAAAATAATTAATAAAAAATAAAAATTTGCCCCACTATCTTGTATTGCTGCAAAGTAACATGAGAATGTACTCGCCATCTTGGAGTCTTGGAATTGCTGGGTGTATTATATATTTCCCTTCCAAAAACATGTCTTATCACGTGGCTGCGCGGTGGCAGATGTGGTTACCACTCTGTTTGTTCCATCTGGTATGCATGTTCTTTTCAGGTTCTCTTGTTTCTTCCACAGTACAAAACATGCAGGTTTAATTTAATGGGACACTTTAAATCAGGTTTCACACACTCTAAAGTGACCTAAGTTGTGATGGTTGTCTTTTCATATGTTGCCTGTCTGACGGGCTGGTGGACTGTGGGTTTACTTAGAAGATGAATGAATGGATAAATAGTCTTTTCAATCTTTTTATCGACACAAGTCATTTTGAAGCTCCTGCCTTATTTTAACAGCAGTTAAGATTTATATAATAAACCTGTGTTTGTGTTTGAACAGGTACGCAGCAGCGAACCAACAGTTAAAAGTACTTCACCATTTTCAAATGTGCTGAAGTGTTGATGACAAAAGTGTTGATGGATTTCTGGAAAAATGTCTTCATTGAATGCATGTGGAGTGAAAGCAGGTTTGGAGTTCAATTCACACTGACCTCCTTTTCACTGAGTCCGAGTGAAGAGCTTTAAGAAAACCACTGAAGTTGTGACTAATACATGTCAGGAAGAAAACTGTAATTGTGCAACTATGATTTTAGGTGAGACAGCTGAAAAAGCCAAACTCACTTTTCCTTACATTGTTATTGTACCAGTCTCCACTCGATCGTCGGCTCCGAAGGTTGTTTTCTGTGCAGTTTGTGCAGCAACTGTTAACCTCTGTTTATAGATTTCTTTTCTCATCCAGAGATTTCAGTTTACATCAAACTTTCAGCAGTGTGATGTATGTCTGAGCACACAAAAGTAAAAGTAGCAAATATCTTTAAAAAAAAAAACGAAATTGTTTTCTTACCTTCTATGCAATGTGATACATTCTATCGAATCAATAACTTGGTCAAAAACTACCGAAAGTGAGTTGGTTTGACAAGTATTCACAGAGTATTTCTTAGCTGAATAGCTGCGCCTTAACTGACATGAGTTGTCGTCAGACACTTGAACACACCATGAAGCACCACCTGGGACATGCGTTGGCAGGAATTTGTCCATCTTCCCGCACAACAACGATCGCTAGCACGCTGCCAATGTCATCAAAACGGAGTATCATAAAATAGGTTTGGAATCACCCGGGGCTTTGGACCTCCTGAACAAACAACATCTAAAGCATGTCTGAGCCATCTGTAAATTAATGCGGCTCGCTCTGAAATATTGATGGCGAGTACGTAAGAATTAAAGCTCTCTATTTCCAACATTTAGATTATGTCTATTTAGTTTACTGTAGGAGTCCCATAAATATTGCATCTTGGCTTGTGGCCACATTTTAAACTGTTAGCTTAAGACTCTACCCAACTACTCCACTCCGCTCTCTGCTGTCACTACCCCCGGAGAATACAAGCGTATTGTCTAATGATGTGATCTTTGCCTTGAGTAGAGACGCCTTTGTCCTGAGACAATGGACGACATATTGTAAACCATAGCAGTCAATGGCAGCGGCACAGCTGCCAGAGAGTGGATGGCAAGTCTTCCTGGGTACAAGTTGAAGGCTTTGAGAGAGGCACTTTAGCATGCATACGTGTGTGTGTGTGTGTGTGTGTGCACGTGCAAATTTTTGTCTCTATCGTTTGTGTCTGCAGGTCTGTTTCCAAGAATCAGCAGATGGACCTGTGCAATTAGACAGAGCCTCACTCCCTTTATGGGCACACATTAACATGTGCCTGCAAACACACACACACATATACACCCACTCAGGTGTGCACATACTGTACACACACACACACACACTCTGGAGGCTCAGTAAAAAGCAAATGCCTAATGAACTTAAGACGTATAAATAGACTGGCGCTCTGACATCACTCCGACGTAACGCTGTTTATTGAGTTGATGGATATTCAATAAAACTGTAGGACGGTCCAGCTGTCAGTCTCTATGTCCGCCTCTTTCTTCTTCGCAAATTGAACAGATTTCCATAGAGTGCTGGGCTACGTCTTCTCAGTGCTACACCTGAAGGTTTTGCTCACTGTTTTGACCTCGTGCGACAAACAGGCTGGGCCGAGATGAGCTTGTGACTGCAGGGTCACGGTGTGAAACCACATTTGTACTGTAGCTGTGAAAAACTCTGTCAGTTAAAATCGCTCGACCACCGCCGTCAGTCAGCGACCTCTGGGCACTTAACCTTTTCAACGTTCCAGTGGAGCAGCTAGTGCCCAGTGGTGTGAGACCGTGGTCTCAGGTGCGATGGCGTCGATGTGAGACTGTAGTCTGGTCTTTAGCTCCTCAGGTCATTTGTCACAGTAGAGGCACGGTCGTGTTCCGTCTCAGCCAATCAGAAACCATTACTGACATTTACATTTACTTCTGTCGAGTCGCTAATTTCCAATGCAAAGCTGTTGCAGTGCACGAGGGACAGTCTGGGCATCGAACACTCGGTGTTTGTTGTAAGTGCGTGACACTGCACCAGGTCTGTCACCTGGTAGATCAGTATCCTGTTGACTACACCTAAGACACAGATGTGTCCCTCATGCATTCCTTTTTTCCATCCCGGGATTGAGACAAAGTACCAGAGGAGTTCACAGCCACACACCTGTACAGTCACACACACACACACACACACACACACACACAAGGTGCAGGTGCGTGAACAAAGACACCTCTTGTGATTGTTAGCACAAATACGATGTCA